GCAAAGCTTCAAACAAGTGTCAGAAACATTCCTCTGTGCTCTCTCTCTCTCTCTCTCTCTCTCTGTCACACACACACACACACACACACACACACACACACACACAGACGCATGCCTTTCCCCCACCCCCCACCATACCCACTCCATCCCCAGCCCCACAAAAGCAGGACAGACCTAGGCTGTCCTAAATGGAAAGAACAGGATCTCTTCAGCAAGGGAGACACCAGAAAAGGAAATTTGAGTCATTCTTGCTTCCATTTGTGAAAAAATAATTGTTTTCCAGCGTTACCACACACATTTTTCAAACTCCCCTCAGAAACCCAAGTGATAGACCAAGTCTCACCTCATACACCCTTGTTCACACCTTTCCTTGAGCAAGTGACTGTGCGTCATTGATCTTTAGGAAGAAACTATCCAAAATGTTGGAAATAGGTTTTTAAGTTTTATGAGAAGTGAATGTGTGAGTGGGAGCAATTCTACCAAGACGCTATAAAACCCAGGAGGGTATGAGATGAGGAAAGTCAAAAGAAGGAAGCGAAAGGGATCCTCAGTATTTGACCTGCACACAAGAAGGTACAATTGCCTTGTCCTCTACTCCCACTTTCTTGACCCCCATGGGGCTCCTAATTCCCATGGGTGGTTATGAAGGTGAGCTAGTGTTTGGGATACAGGAGGATTTGCAAGAAACAAAGGAAGGGGAGACTGGAGTGTAGGTTGGTGAGAATGTATGTGACTTTGATATTTACCACTTTCCTTGTGGGCCACCTTGAGAAGAGAATGAGCATCATAAACCGCTCAAATATTTGAGGGCAAGCTAACTTAAAAAATGATGGCCAGGTGCATTGGCTCCCACCTGTAATCCCAGAACTTTGGGAGGCCAAGGCAGGTGGATCACCTGAGGTCAGGAGTTCAAGACCAACCTGGCCAACGTGATGAAACCCCATCTCTACTAAAAATACAAAAAATTAGCTGGGCGTGGTGGTATGTGCCTCTAATCCCAGCTACTTGGGAAACTGAGGCAGGATAATTGCTTGAACCTGGGAGGTGGAGGTTGCAGCGAGCTAAGATCACACCACTGCACTCCAGCCTGGGTGACAGAGTGGGACCCTGTCTCAAAAAAAGAAAAAACCCAAAAAGCAAAAAATCAAACCAATTTCCTCGCACGCTGATATTTGATAAGGAATTCGTGTTAAGCATTTTAAAATAAGTAATACTGGTATTGCGATGATTTAGTTAGAAAAGAGTCCTTATGTTTTTAAGATACACATTGGAATAGCTATGGATGAAATCATGTTACAGTTGAGATTTGCTTCAAAAAAATGTAGGTGAAGATGAAGTAGGTGGTTGTAGAGGGTAAACAAGATTGGCCATTAGTCGTTAATTGTTGAATCGTATGAAAGATGCAAGGGGGTTTGTTACACTATTCTGCCTACTTTGATACATGTTTGACTTTTTTTTGTAATCAAAAGCTTAAACATTTGAAGAAAACAGTTTTAAAAGTATTTAGAACAAAAGTTGGGGCCCATATCCAAAGATGCTAAAAAGGGGCTTAGTAGAAATGAAACACTCTCCAAAATAATATTCCACAATATGAGTAAGGACTAAGGAACTGCCAGGTGTTGGATGGAAATGCCACTCTATAATCAAGTTGAAGTGGACGACACCATTCCGGCAGTGACCACTCCTGTCGCCCATTTCAGAAGGGAGTTGACCCAAATAGGAAGTGGCCCAGCTGAGCCTAATTGGGAGTAGCTGGCTGACACAGGGCCTCTTGGTCTGCATACGCTGCCAATTTGAGGAGTTCCCCAGCTGAGAGCAGGAAGGAGGGACTTGGGAGAAGAATGCAAAAACAACCTTTTTTTTTTTTAAGCTGGAAATTATTCTGTTGTAGGTTATTTTTTTTTTTTTGAGGGGAGGAATAAGAATTATAACTAACTTGATACCTACCCCAACAACATAAATATCCTCTATCATATGCTTTCTTATTACTTCACACTCATGCAGTTTGTCCTGTCTGTAGTATGATACACACTGAAATTTCAACTAACTGGCATGAAACTGATCAGAACCTTCTATTAACCAGGATTTTGCTACACTCTCTATTCAAGAGAAAATTTAGGCTAACAACAACAACAACGAAATTAGGAGGATTTGTTTTTCTCAAATTCTGTACATTTTTACATTGAATCTGTATCTGTAGAACTGTGTTTATAGCTGAACTCTACATCAGGGTCAGCAAACTGTTTCTGTAAAGAGCCAGACCGAAATATTTCAGGCTTTGCAGACCCATTGGTCTCAGCCACTGCTATTCAACTCTGCCATTGTAACAGCCATGCACAATATATATGAACAAACGGACACGACTGTGTTCCAGTAAAACTTTATTTACAAAAACAGGTGGTAGGCCAGATTTGCAGACCATTGTTTGCTGACCCTTGATGGTAAACTGTCAATTAAATGCATTGTATTGGCTGGGTGCGGTGGCTCACGCCTTTAATCCCAGAACTTTGGGAGGCTGAGGCTGGCGGATCACAAGGTCAAGAGATCGAGGCCATCCTGGCCAACATGGTGAAACCCCGTCTTTACTAAAAAAAATACAAAAATTAGCTGGGTGTGATGGTGTGCGCCTGTAGTCCCAGCTACTCAGGAGGCCGAGGCAGGAGAATTGCTTGAACCCAGGAGGCGGAGATTTCAGTAAGCCGAGATTGCACCACTGCACTCCAGTGTGGCACCTGGCGCCACAGCAAGACTCTGTCTCAAAAAAAAAAAAAAAAAGCATTGTATTAGTTTCCTATCACTTTTGTTAACAGATTATGACAAATTACCACTTCAGCGGTTTTTAACAACATAAATTTAATTATCTTACAGTTCTGAAGGTCAGAGATTTGAAGTGGGTCTCTCTGGGTTAAAATCAAGGTGTTGGGAAGGTTGTGTTTCTTCTGGAGGCTCCAAGGGTGAATCCCTTTCCTTGATTTTCCAACGTGTATGGGCTGCCAGCATTCCTTGGCTCATGGCTCCTCCCTCCATCCTCTAAGCTGGCCACAGCCATCTGCGTCCTCACATTGCATCACTCTGACCTCCTCTAGTGACTCTCTCCACATTGTAGGACCCTTGTGATACTGTTGTTGGCCCACCTGGATAATCCAGAATAATCTTCCCATTTTAAAGTCAGCCAATTCACAACCTTAACTCCCCTTGGCTGTGTAACTTAACATATTCACAGGTGCCAGGGATGAGAACATGGACATCTTTCGAGGGGCATTATTCTGTCAACCACAGGGCCTACTAGGAAATAATCCACTCACCAATCACACTCTGGTAGGTTTTGCTCACTTTTGGGAGTTGGCTCATGTCATTGGCAATGAGGAGTGTACATCGACAGCGGAAGAATAACACTTCCAGCTTTAAAAGCAGGACAGTTGGTTCACTGTGATACAGAGGACTGTGTATGCATCCGCATATATCAGCACACTGGGGAGGTGGCATGGGACACAATTAAGAGCATGCACTTAAGGGACTTTGAATTAAATGAGACAATGGGAAGCAACTAACCCAATGCCTAGCCTATCATTAACGCTATTTCTGCAGAACTTCTGGATTCTACTTAGAGTTGAATCATGTCCCTTTTTACACAATAACCACATGCAGAATGCATGCTATGGCCTTATTTCCCTGCAAGGCAAATTTTGGTTCTACCCCTACTGTAGCATTATAATTGGGTCCTAATTATCAAGTCTAAAGCAACATTTAGATGGCCTTAAAGTAGCACTGTATTTGAGCACCTAGTTAATAAATAAACCTTCTGGAGATGATAATACTTCAACATATTTACTCTCAAATTACCCTGGCAGACCATTCACCGGGAATGCTGCTGAGGGCTTGCCAAGAACAGTACTTGTCATGTGTGAAAAATAGATGTCAGAAAACCATTCAATAAATGCAGTAACTTTTATAGTCTTAGGAAATGGTATTAACTTGCTTTATCCAGGGTATGCAATAAAGCTTGTTCAAATATAAAAGCAGAATTATTTCTCTCAGTTTGAGAGTCAATCATCAGATGTTTTCAATAAGTGAATTTGCAATTATTCAGGACATTGTACCTGTAAAGTATCCTTTTTTTATTTTTGAGACAGGATCGTACTCTGTTGCCCAGGCTAGATGAAGTCCAGTGGTGCAATCTTGGCTCACTGCAACCTCCGCCTCCCAGGTTCAAGCAATTCTTCTGCCCAGCCTCCCAAGTAGCTGGGACTACAGGTGTCCACCACCATGCTTAGCTAATTTTTGTATTTTTAGTAGAGACAGAGTTTCACCATATTGGCCAGGTTTGTCTCGAACTCCTGAGCTTGCAATCCACCCATCTCAGCTTCCCAAAGTGCTGGGATTACAGGTGTGAGCCTCCACACACGGCCAAAGTATTCTTAAATATCTTCTTGGCATCTCAATTATTTTTGTTTTGGCATTTTATAGAAGTTGGGGAAAATCAAAATTAGCTGCCCAAGTCCACCAAGGAAGCTAATGACAAACTAGAAAAAAAATCCTAATTCCCATCTTAATGCCCTAACCACTAACATACTCATATGTAGTGTCAAATGAAAACAGCCTTCCCTCATAGAGAACTTCCATAATCTCAGGAGAAATACTGACATATTGCATCTGAGTCATTTTTCTGTGGTCTGTCTGAATATCAAATTCTGAAGCTCTCCAAGCTTTTCCAAACACTCACCTATTTTTTGTATCTATCTAGCCAGAGCATCTGGGATGAAAAGAACATTCTCAAATGCATGCTAATTTCAACATTCAGATGGTTTTTCAGGGCAGCTCACGTAGAAAGGAATTATTTTCTTTGAAGAAAATTATTCCGACAACTAATAGTTTTCTCCTTCCTCATCCCTAGGGCTTCCCATGTTTTTTGAATTCTCCACTTCAGAGTAAATCCTTAAAATGAAGCTGACTCATGTGCCCCATGATTAATCGTAACTTCTTTTCCTTTCCTCTTCCAGATCCTTTCCACAATGTGAATATTTCCTGCAATGGCTAGCCAAGATTCTTCTACCAGTCAAAACTAAGCGCAAGATGACCACATTTTTTAGTAAGTGAAAGGTCTTTTAAAGTGGATTCCAGGTCTCTGGTGAACTTGGAGATAGGCTACTGTCTAATTGTATTTTTAAAAATCAAATTCTGAGAGCAGTAAGATCAGGAAAGGGCACAAAAATGGGTAAAGTCATTGTCAATGACTTCAACCAGTTTAGGTCTGTATTGATGGAATTTGATGATTTGCTTATCAAAATAGACCTATAAATATAATCAGAAGTTATTTTGCATTCGAGAAATGTATCTGATTTAACCGGATTCCCAGTTTAAGCCCTTGGAAGAACTGGCCACAGGCATAAAGTCATGCAGTTGCAATGCTTGAATACTCCAGAATGTGTTCCTTTTTCGTATTTATCACTGTGGTTTTATAACAATATCTTGTTTCTTTTAGCTGACACATGTGTTGGGAAGTGTGCATCTCAGAAAAAAACTCCATTTTTAAAACAATAATATCCAGTGGTAGTAAGAACACAAAATGAGCCCCAGACACTTGGGATGAGAAGTGGAATGGCCTTTCTGCTACTTGGCAATAATGTATCAAAAGCCTTAACAGTATGCAACACCTTTAACCCAGAAATTCTGCTTCTTGAAATGTGTTTTGATAAAAACATCAGCAAGGCACAGGAAGATACACACTTTTGTGCAGAACCTCATCACAGCATTCCCTACGATATCAAAATACTAAAAACCCATCTAAAAATAGAGAATCCATTAAACATATTGTTTCATTGGGATAATGAATAATATGGGATATAGCTAGCTGTTAAAATTATGTTTTATAAGAATTTGATGAAATGATTTAAGATATAGTATTGAGTAAAAAATAAATTATATGCAGTATGTATACAGTGTGATTCCAATATATATGTAATTTTATGTGTGATGTGTGGGTCTATAAAAGAGAAAAAAGGATGCAAGGATGTGTCCTCGATATACCAAATACAGTGAGAGTGATTATCTCTGGGTGTTTCTGTACTTTCTGTCCTCTTTACGATGAAGATGTTTTGCTTCTTAGGATCATAATACAGGTTGGTGTTTTTTATTTCAGAAATAGGCTTTGGCAAGAAACAATCTTTGTTTCTGGTCTTGTTTCCTTTGTTCGCCGTTTATCACCTTAAGGACTTACAGAGTGTCTGGTTCTGAGTAGTAGGGCTGGCCCGATGCCAGGTCCCTAATGGTGTTTGAGTATGCTGGTATATTAGGAGACAGGACAGCAGTAGCCAAGGGAGGGAATAAGGGGGCAGGGGAGACAGGGGTGAGGAGCAAAAGAGAAGCAGCAGTTGTGATGTAGAGATGGATGGTGTCTTTTCTCTGGACACAGTCATGCATGGCTCAGAGGATGCCTGAAAGCACGCCACGGGAGCTGGTCCAGGGTATCAGGCCAGATCTGGCTACTGTGTTGTCTTGAGCATTGCCAGGTGAGCCCCAGCTTCAGGGATGGCCTTCTGGTAATGTGGTCAGGAGGCTTTGCCTAGAGTGACAGAGGAACCTAAGTGGCAGACATCTGGCTGGGAGGGGACCTACTCACTGGACTGGAGTCAGCCATGGGCCTGGAGGTAGGCTCGCATCTTAGAATGATTGAGATATTATACAAGATGAGGATGTGGAAGCTGAGGATCCAGCCCCCACAACTACCGGGAATGTGCGGGGTGGGGCCTCGTTTGGATGCAGGCCAAAGCGCAGTTACCAGAACCAGGACCAGGACATAAAGTAGAGGCTAAACTAGCAGCGGTGGTTACTTGATGCCATGTCTCAGAGAGCTAGACTACACTGGCTAGAATCTCTCCTGCCAATATCAGAATTGGCAGGGACAACAAGCTGGTCTAATAAAGACGGGTCTGCTGGGTGCAGTGGCACACACCTGTAATCCTTGCACTTCTAAGACCAGCCTGGGCAACATGGCAAAACCCCGTATCTACTAAAAATACAAAAATTGGGCCAGGCACAGTGGCTCACACCTGTAATCCCAGCACTTTGGGAGGTCAAGGCGGGCAGATCACTTGAGGTCAGGAGTTCAAGACCAGCCTGACCAACATGGTGAAACCCTGTCTCTACTAAAAATACAAAAATTAGCTGGGCATGGTGGTGCACACCTGTAATCCCAGCTACTTCGGAGGCTGAGGCATGAGAATCGCTTGAACATGGGAGTCAGAGGTTGTGGTGAGCTGAGATTGCACCACTGCACTCCAGCCTGGGTGACAGAGTGAGACACCATCTCAAAAAATTTTTTAAATGCAATCACAAAAATTAGCCAGGCATGGCAGCATGTGCCTGTAGTCACAGCTACTCAGTAGGCTGAGGTGGGAGGATTGCTTGAGCCCAGGAGGTCAAGGCTGCATTCGGCTGTGATTGTGCCACTGCACTCCAGCCTGGGTGACAGAGTAAGATCTCTTATTTAAAAAAAAAAAAAAAGGAAAAGAAAGGAAGGAAGGGAGGGATGAAAAAGAAAAGGAAAGAGAGAGAAAGAAAAGAAAGGAAAGAATGGAAAGAAAAGAAAAAAAGGAAAGAAAGCAAGAAAGAAAAGAAGGAAAGAGGCCGGGCACGGTGGCTCACGCCTATAATCCCAACACTTTGGGAGGCCAAGGTGGGTGGATCCCAAGGTCAAGAGATCGAGACCATCCTGGTCAACATGGTGACACCCCGTCTCTACTAAAAATTAGCTGGGCACGGTGGTGCGTGCCTGTAATCCCAGCTACTCAGGAGGCTGAGGCAGGAGAATTGCCTGAACCCAGGAGGCGGAGGATGCAGTGAGCCAAGGTCGCGCCATTGCACTCCATCCTGGGTAACAAAAGTAAAACTCCGTCTCAAAAAAAAAAAAAAAAAAAGAAGGAAAGAAAGAAACGAGAGAAAAAAAGAAAAGAAGGAATTGAAGGGCAATTAATTGACTTTAGTTTCGGGGAAACCAGGCAGGATGTAGCATGCGAGCATTGAAGTGGAATCAGAAAATTCTGTCAGAATTGTGCCTATTGCCGTTTAGTTCACATTCAATAAGACAAGTGAATAGACATCCTCCATGTGGCAAGAACAGGAGGCCCTTAGCCATTCCTGCTTAAATCCCTTTATGATGTCCCTAATAAAGATACAGGCACACAGCAGTTCATCTTGGTAATGTCAAGAATGTGTCAAAAATTCAAAGTTGGTGTATATGCACTGTATCTTTGTTTTGCCAAATAAAGGAGAAATTTATATAAGATGGACAGTTCAATATTGCTACACCAATGCCTTTACTAAAACTCAAAAGTAGAATTCCTAACTCGGTAAGTTTCAATGAAAACGCCATACTATACAAAAGATTCCAGCTCTTCTGTTGTTTTTATAAAGAGTATTTGGTATTTAAATATTTTGCTGGAATATAAGATTCAATTTTGCAATATTTCTTTCCTTCAGATGGAAAAGTGGAAGATGTTACTGTAAACTTTACTGTATAGTTTTCAGGGTCTGATTGACGTCATGGTAAGGAGAAAAATAAGTAGCTAAATCATCAATTCTATACAATAAATTGACAGCTAAGCGAAAGGTGGCTATGGAAGATAATAATATCTTTGGTGCTCATAAGCAAGTTTCTTGTAGCAAAAAAGTTTGTTCCTCATGAATGCAGGGGGACATCTGGTTTCGCCCGTCTGGTTATCTTTCAGCTAGATTCTCCTTTTTTCCTGTCCTCGGCTTCCCTATCTCTACTTCCCTCTGCCTAGGGGCTCTGCTTCTGGGGTCAGCCTCCCGTATAGTGAACACCTGCTTTGCAGTCTCACATGGGAGGGTCCCCAACATTACTGTCTCTTGATGACAGTCCACGTTTGATTGGCTTTCCCAGAAGTACAATTTCCACTCTATAGAACCTTATTTCTGTGGCTTATAACTAAAGCAGTGATTCTCAATCTTGGCATCCCATTTGCTTGGGAGCTTTTATGATTCCCAGAGCCCTTGCAGCAGACAAATGAATCAAAATCTCTGGTGGATAAAACCCAGGCATCAAGATTTTGTAAAGGTCCCCAGATAACTTAAATACGTGATCAAAGTGGAGATCACTGGATGACAGTGATCATATTGATGTATTATCCAAACCAGGACGCCTTTAGGAGTGAAAGGTGACACTATTACTGATTACTCTGGGGCAGTAAACTAAGCCAGTTAAGTCCTAGCTATACTGGGGTGTACGGTCACTCTAGTTTTGGCCATCAGCTAGTGTCACTCTTGTCCCTTAACATTTACAAAAGCTCATATGAAAGCTCCACACCCCTTGGGAAATTCCAGTGTTTCTGGAATCTCTTGAAAATCCTTTTAATTTCTTTTAATTCTAATTTCCACCTTTGGTTTCCACCTTTGGCTGCTTAGTCTCTTAGAGCTTTATTTTTTCTCATCTGTACTTTGAGAATGGCTTAAATGGGAGACCCAGGCCCTTCTCCTCATTCTCCATCCCACTCCCCAGAACAAATTCCCTGAGGCATCTGGCTAGATCTAGCTAGAGGTGATCATATTGAATCACCATATCGGAGATCATTTTAAATGTAATACATTTCCTTGTGCCTAAAAAGTTCCCTCAGCCATTTCTACTGCCTAGGACTCCAGTCTCTATCATATTTCCTGACTCTTTCTCTTTTTTTCTCTCACATGTCCTCATTATACTCCTGAATTCTTGTCCCTTTCTTATGCAAGATGATTTACCATCTCTTTAGTATTTCATTCTAACCTATGGCATAAGGGTTTCCCTCTCTATATTTATATATTAGTTGAAGGGTTTAAATTAGGATTGAAATTCTATATTTACTTGTGACAATACGTGTTCCACCAAACAAAGCAGCATAAAGCAGCTTATCAAAGGCCTTTCTCAAAAGACAGTTCTCTCTTTTAAAGAAACTCAAGTCCGAGCTGGAAAACGTAGTTTTGCTCACTCTACTGCACACTCACTTAGATACCCTTGGTGTCAAAACTTGCTAGGAATCCACTAGAATGGCTAAAATCAAAACAACTGACAATGCTGAGTGTTGGCAAGCCCATATA